TAACAGTTTCTGCAAACAATTTTACTAATGCTGTGACTGAAAGTCCAATAAATACTTGTAAGCATGTGGCCTTAGGCCAGAAGATTATTATGCTACTCAGGGGGTGACTTGAACCTCGACTCATTCTTTCTCCTTGATCACCTGCTCTTTAATAAAAGAAGTTACATTTTTTGTTAACAAAAGGAGACCTGATTTTAATTAAATGCCCAATGTATTTTCTGTGTGTGTGTATGTGTGTGTATAAGAAAGAGAGAGAGAGAGACAGACAGACAGACAGACAGACAGACAGACAGACAGGATCTTGCTCTGTTGCCCAGGCTGAAGTGCAGTGGTGCGATCATGACTCACTGTAACCTCGACCTCCCAGGCTCAGGCAATCCTCCCATTTCAGCCTCCCGAGTAGCTGGGACTACAGGTGCAAGCCACTGTGCTTGGCTATTTTATTTTGTATTTTTTGAAGAGACAGGGTCTCCCTTTGTTGTCCCAGCTGATCTTGAGCTCCTGGGCTCAAGAGATCTGTCTGCCTCAGCTGCCCAAAGTGCTGAGATTCCAGATGTGAGCCACTGCACTGGGCCCAGTGTATTTTTTAAACCTGGTCCAAATTGGTAAATACATGTTCCATGGTTCTTAGGGAGTGTTTTCATGGTTTAAGAGGTTTTCTAGCTGGTTGTGGTGGCGCGTGCCTGTAGTCCCAACTACTCAGGAGGCTAAGGTGGGAGGATCACTTGAGCCTCAGGAGTTTGAGACCAGTCTAGGCAACATAGTGAGACTCCATCGCTACAGAAACAAAAAAAATATATGTTAGCCAGGTGCAGAGGTGTGCACCTGGTGGTCTCACCTACTAGGGAGACTGAGGTGGGAGCGTCACTTGAGCCTGAGAGGTTGAGGCTGCAGTGAGCTACAATTGTGCCACTGCTGTCCAGCCTAGGCTACAGAGCAAGACCCTGTCTCAGAAAAAAACAAAACAATAATTAGAAATAAATAAATAAATAGAAGGTTTTTCTAAGATGGTATTTGAGGTTATGATTAAAAAATATTTCACTCTTACATTTTTTCAAATGTTGCGTTACTTTCCACACAGTTTTCAATTGTGTATATGATGAGAAATAAAACATTGTCTTGATACCAGAGAAGGCACCTTATCGATAGGTTTTCAGTCATACTTACTCTGGAAAAATGAGCTTATCATATAAGTTTATTCTTTAGAGTAGTGGCTTGTGTATAACGAGAAAATGGAACACTGCTCAGTAAAATTAATGTAAATACTTTAGCACTGGCTTCCTCCAGCACTCTTTGGACTCCAGAAATCAGTCTTCCTTTCTAAGATTGGCTCTGGGCACAGCTGTAGAGCAGACATGTTTCGACCAAACCTCAGCTCTTGGTTCCTGTCGCTTCCCTTGCGTCTTCCTTCCCCTTTCTCTTGTCTAATGGACTTAATGTCTAGCACAGGTGCCCTAGCAAGAGCAGGTTTTGTCTCGATGTGCCATGTGCTTGTTTCTAGATTACCCCCCATCCCTTGGTAATTTGGGCTAGTTTCTCTTCCCCTGCATCAGCTCCAGCTTTTGATTCCATGGTTGTGAAACTGGAGAAGTCCTGATAAGCCTCAATCCTTGGGGCCAAGGCGGAAGAGGTGGGACAGAAACTGGTAGAATTCACCTGTTACTTTTTGATTTTTGATGATTTGGTTTTGTGGCACCTGATCCCTTATCTCTTCTAACTCTGCATTTTGGCTCTCTTGATATAAGCCTTATTCTCAAGGTTTCTTCCGCATTTATAGTAGATTAAGGGATACTCTTGTTGTCCCCAAGTTGCTTCTCTCCCATTTTCCAGGTTTTAGTGCCTTGGCTTGTGGGTTTCTGGGCATTGCCTCCTGAAGTATGCCCCCTGCCCCAGGAGGCTATTATTTAGAAGTGGATTACTACTAGCTGGGCTCAGTGGCTCACGCCCATAATCCCAGCACTTTGGGAGGCTGAGGTGGGCAGATTACTTGGGGTCAGGAGTTCAAGACCAGCCTGGCCAACATGGTGAGCCCCGTCTCTACTAAAAATGCAAAAATTGGCCAGGCATGGTGGTGTATGCCTGTAGTCCCAGCTGCTTGGGAGGCTGAGGCAGGAGAATTGCTTGAACCCGGGAGGTGGAGGTTGCAGTGAACTGAGATTGTGCCACTGCATTCCAGCCAGGGCGACAAAACCAGACCCCTTCTCAAAATAAATAAATAAATAAAAATTACTATTGTACTATGAGAGATTTATTCTGGTTGCTGTATGTCCACTTGCTGCTTTTCTAAGGGAGCAAGATTATGGGTAAACTGAGTTCGTAGAGAGATGTGGACCAATTAACTCCCAAAGAGTGTGATCAAGTGTAGCAGGACAGTTTGACCTCTTTTCTAGTTTCATCCGCTGTGAATTGTCCTCATCTTCACTTTGTTTATCTCCAGCACAGAATAATTCAGTCTCCAGGCCCTGCTCTCTAAGGGAAGATTCTGGAGGGTGAAGTCATCTCATTCCTTGCTCTTACTGATCTGCATTAGGACTGCAGAAACTAGGGCCATGCTGCCTCCTTCAAAGGACCTTCTGGGCCCTATCAGTGGCTACTGTTCTCACAAGGCTGGGGAGGGTGTGGCTCTGTGTTCTGTTCTCCCTCCTCATTTCTTTCTCTGGTTTGGGGGACAAATTTTGCAGTCTACCAGCAAACACAGCTGCAGGCCATGCAGTAGTCACTGTCCTACAACCGGAGCTGCAGTGACCAGAAAAGAAAATAATCATGTCCTTGGTGAGCAACAGAGTGCCAGGATGGTCTCGATCTCTGGACCTTGTGATCCGTCTGCCTCAGCCTCCCAAAGTGCTGGGATTACAGGCATGAGCCACTGCGCCCAGCCAGAGTGACAGTCTTAAACATGGGAATGTGTATACAAAGGCAGGCTTTACAACGTATTAGAAGGTTTAGAAGTGTGGCCATTGTATAAGGCTTTATAGGTGGTGTTTTTTAAGATTTGGCATTATATCCGAACCTTAATTTATTATCCAATAAATATAGCAAGTACATTATCATTTAGTGCCAGTTGTATGTGTAAGGTTGTTGATTAATTTTATGATGGAGAACATAGATTGAGTTTTAAGATAATTGAATAATTAATAAGAGAAAGTAAATGACTATTTTCTTACATTTGGGAAAGTGAAAATCTATTTTAAGACTTTGAATAGATCCTTAAGCACAGTTAGGCAAAAGGAGAAAGAATTAAAATAAACAGGTATGTAAATGGATGTGAAAAGAACAGTCATGGCAGGAAATGTGTGTCATAAGCTACCAGTTACATACAGGTTCAAGTGATTTCATGATAAAGTTAATCACTCAGGACCAAAGTAAACAGTTCTGATAATCTTGAACAAGTTTGTCATCATCATTTCTCCATTATCTGTATGAAAAGATTATAAATCCATTTTAATTAAAACTAGTGAACAACACTTTCTTATACCACATCAATAAGCATAACACCATTAGTATGACTTTGACACTTTTGAATTAAAAAATGATCCAGCATTAACAAGAGGTAAATGAAGCTGATAACTATCTGGTCAGTTTAGGTTATATGCTCAGTCTGGATAAATTAGGTCTCAACATGGATTTTGCACTCTCTTCCAGTATTAGCTGTTCATGGCCAGCATTTACCAGATAATTGTCAAATCTACACTTTCCTTCTTCATAGACTTGGACTTACTGGCTGTTGCAATAAAGCAAAAATCCCATGCACATATATAGTCACATTGGAAATATTCACAACTTTTAAGTGGGTAAAATCATAGTTAGACCATCTCTGAATAGAAGAGTCAATGATGTTTAGATGTTTCCAGTCTGCTTTCTTCTCAACTGAAGCCCCTTAGCGTTACAAGTTGAGTTTAACCAGACACATTGGATACATTAGAATCTTGTTGAATTTTTTTTTTCTTTCAGAAAAGCAACTAATGTATGCTAACTAGTGCTTCAAGGAAAGCATCCTGATTCTCTTAGAAATATGTCAAAAAATTCATGTAGAATATGGACTCCTCTTTTTTTTTTTGAGACCAAGTATCTGTCTGTTGCTCAGGCTGGAATGTAATGGCATGATCTCGGCTCACTGCAACCTCTGCCTCCTGCGTTCAAGCGATTCTCTTGCCTCAACCTGAGTAGCTGGGACTACAGGGGTGCACCACCAGGCCCCAGCTAAGTTTTGTATTTTTAGTAGAGACAGGGTTTCACCATGTTGACCAGGCTGGTCTCGAACTCCTGACCTCAGGTGATCTGCCTGCCTCAGTCTCCCAAAGTGCTGGGATTACAGGCATGAGCCACCGCGCCCGGCCTGAACTCCTAATTCAAGGAAAGAATCTGTGCATTTTAAGCAGTGATCCCCTCTAAAAGTGTCCTTATAAACATTTCTCCCTCTCTTTGCATAGATCATTATGAAATGGCTTATGTTTTTAGATAAAAAGAAATCAAATAGTCATTAACTGTTTTTGCACTGAAGAAGTCTTTCTGTACCTATAGTTGTGCCACTGAACTGGCATAAAAGATCTTAAATCATGTATTAGGATTGGAAGAGACCTGAGGGGTCATCTGGTCAACCAGCTTATTTTACAAATGACACACAGGGTGGCAGCTCACCCACAGCCTGTCTGCCAGACAGGGAGTGGGTGGCATACACAAGATGAGAACTCAGGCTTCTTTCCAATTTCAGCTGCCCTCAGTTTTCCATTCATTTGGCAGTTGTGCATTTTGGCACTTGCTGGATTCACACATTTTGGTTTGTAGAAAATTACCAAGTTTTAATGTATGAACGATTGAGGTGAAGGCAGAATATTGTCACAGAAACACTTGATGGGTAGTTTCGCTCCTCTGCTTAAGTCTGATGGAAACACTTGAAATCAAATTGCCTTTAACTCAGTAGTTCCTTTTTCTTAGAACCAAAAATGAAGTCCCCAACTATATAACCAAGTGTCTCATAGCCAATGTTTCTGACCTTTTAGAACAGAAGAATCCATAACAGAAGATGACAAGAGGAGGTATGTTTGGTGTTGCAGCTGGCTTTAGTTTGAATGGTTTTGGCCATACCTCATGGATTTCATACACTGTAGCACATTCCCAATAGCACAGATTCCACCAGGAAAACTGTGGCACGGAGAATACAGGTAGGGGCATATGGTCTGAAAAAGAACTTGCCTAGGATTCATCATCTTGGCTCATTCCAAGCAAACTTGGTTTTTGTCCTGTGCATGTGGCGTGTGCTAATTTTTATCCTGTGACCTTTGGGTGTGCTCTTCCTCCTAAATGGACGGCTTCCCTTCATTCTCTCAGCCTCCCCTTCCTCCTCCTCCTCTGATTCACTGCACTCCACCCTCATTTCTCTCTAGCTCTCCCTACCCTCATTTTGTATCTTCCTATTAGTAAGATATCTTTGTGTGTCCATAATGCCTAATATCATACCACGTTGACTACTCTGAATTTATTTTTTTGATACAGAGTCTCGCTCTGTTGCCCAGCATGGAGTGCAGTGGCACGATCTCAGCTCACTGCAACCTCTGTCTTCTGGGTTCAAGCAATTCTGCCTGAGCCTCCCGAGTAGCTGGGATTACAGGCCTGTGCCACCACACCTGGCTAATTTTCGTACTTTTTTTAAGTAGAGACGGGGCTTCGCCATGTTGGCCAGGCTGGTCTCAAATTCCTGACCTCAGGCCATCCACCTGCCTTGGCCTCCCAGAGTGCTGGGATTACAGGTGTGAGCCATCTGAATTCTTGATAAATGTTAACTGTGACACATCACTCTACTGATATTTAGTACTATACAAAATTATAGCATCCCAAATTCTTTTCTTCTTTCTCATTTCAAGTAAAATATCTACAAATTCTAACTCAATACACGTTTCTTTAAAAAAAAAAAAAAAACTTCTTTTTAACAGGGGAAACCAATTATATTCCCAGGGGCAATAATACTCTGAATTCCACTTTGAAAAATCATGACTTATTTTAATAATTATATAATTGTTTGGAGTACTTCATGCTTCTGTTGCTTCCTGTAAATAGATAGTACTATTGAAATTGGTCTGATTTCTTTTTATTAAGAAACTATGGGGGAGTATATGTTGGCCTACCATCTGAAGCTGTCAATATGGCGTCCAGTCAAACAAAGACAGTTCGGAAAAGTAAGTGAAATCATGTGCTATTGATTTTCCCTAATTATTTATTTTTATGTATTATGAAAAAACATGAAATTTATATTTTGGCTTACTTGTCTCGACCTGTGTATCAGCTGCAGTGAACCATGTGCAAGTACCATCTATTCATTGTAATCATTGGTTGAAATGACCACCCACATGGTAAGAAGAATTCCAGAGCAAAATTTAGCTTTTGTTTGTGGTTATGCTCTATATTTTTAATTTCTAGTTAATTTCAGTGATGATCAGGTATGGAAATGCAAGCAAATATTTATGTAAGTTTATGGAGTTTTCATAGAACAGAAAGGTAAATTTCTGTAATATAAGATGATTGACTGATAAGCAGTCTGCTGTTTAAAGGAAAATAATTGCCTGTTGCGTAATTAAATGAAATGAGGTTCTATTTTCTGAGTTTTAATAGTTAGCAATTGTGGGACTGATGAAGTTCTTTTGACTAATAGGCACCTTTTGATAGATAGCTTCTTGCTCAAGTCAATTTTTAAGTGAGGCTCAGGGTAAACAATGCTGATCTACAAAACCACTATACAGTGTATTGTCAGATGTGTAGTTTTAAATGACTGTTAATATATTCACTTTATACACAAGGCTGTATTACATTATTTTTAACATACTGTGTTTGTTCCTCATTGTTCTTTCTGTACTTTGTGATTTAGGCTAGCAAATACATGTATGTCATTACTATGTGCAGTTCTATAGAAAACTAGAATATGCTCTTTATAATCTGAACATTTAACTTTTCTTAATTTTCTCTTTAAGATTAGAAGAAAATAACCTCATGACTCAAGAATCAAGAGGTGCTGTATATTTTTCTAAATAATTCTATATATTTAGACTTGTTGATGAATGGACTGTAAATATTTTTTGCTCTATATTTCTAAGAAATCTTGCACTTTACAAGTTAAAGGATAGGTCTCATCCTGTGGAATTGAGTGTGTTTTATTGCAAAGAGGTAAATAATTAGATTAATTTTCTTTTCAGCTACTTTCTTTCATTTCATTTTGTTAAAAATAAAACTTTAGTAAGAGCCACCTAAGTGTCTACCTAAAACATTGAGATCTCACCGTTTTTCATTGCAAAAAATCTTTGAGGGCCTAGGACTTGAGAAATGACAGAGACCGGAGAGGCTAGAACTGGGAATTAGATTAGAATCAATATTAAGTGGTCCTAGCCAGTGGTTAATATACAGAGAGGAGTTGTGTCAGTACCAAAACTCCAGTAGAGATGGGCAATCAATCAATTAAATGCCAAACAATATTGATTCTAATCTAACTGAACAGAGATGTAGTTATGCAGGAAGGAATAGTAAGAATCAGGGAATAAGTTAACAGATTGGTTTTACAAAACTTGTTCAGTATGGACATAGCAAAGAGCTAGGAGTTAGAATTATAATAAGGCAAACAAGAACAAGGACAAGAGAAAAATAGCTTTCATGTATTAACTACCCTGCATACCAGTCTCTAAAAGACGTGGAGCAGCGTTTCCATACAGGCAAAGAATCTTAGTTCACTGAGTCCAACAGGGGTCTAACAACACATTCAATGCTGGGCACCCCATTGCATTTTAGTCTGCTGAATGATACCCAACTTCTTTTGAAGCCTCCAGTGATTAGGAATGTCCTCTTTCCTGCGAGAGCCCATTCTCTTCTGGAAGTCAGGCAGCCTTGGTTTTGAATTCAGGCTGTCATTTACTAGCTGGGCAGTTTCCTTCCCCTTTATGACCTCAGTTTTGTTATCTGAAAAATGGAACCAAGGCTTAGACTGAAGAGTTGTTGTTAAGATTAAATATGAAATAAATGGTAGCATCTGCTATCATCATCATTGTCATCACCACCATCATCATCACCATACTTTTTAATAACCAGAATCTAACCACTGGCAGACCAAAAGCATGACTGATTTGATACTGAACCATCTTCTTACCCAGGGCCAGTACTGGAGTTCTGTTTGGGATGGGGTAGGATTACAGACTAATTTCACAGGTAGAGACAAACAAGCTTTCCTGCTAGGGAAAGAAGACACAGAAACTGTTACCAATTTCTTCCTGACAAGAACTAGAGCAATCTTTGGGTAGATAGCTACTTCTTTGAAGATTTTCTCAAGGCAGCATTGTGGAGGTTTTTCCCGTAGTACCCACAAACACAGAGTGTTCGGTTTCTTTTTGAGAAGTCACTGGAGATTTTCTATTTCTAGTATTTTTAACATAGCTCTAGCCCTCCATAGTTTTCTGGGTTCCCTAATAGTTTTCTCCTGTGCTGAAGTACTTCTATTATTTGTATCAAATAGAAAAGCTGAGTCAAGACCAAAAATAAACTGTCATTGACCCTCCTGGAAACAGAATGCACTTCAAAACGCATAGGAATAGAGGGGAAAGAGGTGCTGTCTAGATAGCTATCAAGAGACTGGGTAGCTCTGCTATCAACACAAACCTAAGATGAGTCCCTTAACTTCCCTCAGCTTCTCTCAATCAGTTTTCTCATGGGAGTGTTAGACACGATGACTGCTCACCCTTGTGGGTGGATCTGAAGTTTGCCGCTAACGCTTTAGCAATAGTCCTGGCGAGCAAGCCCATCTAACTTTAGGCAGCTAGCTAAAACATTTCTTACTGTTCGTGGCTATAAATTTATTTTATTGCCATCCCTCTTCTCAATTTTCCCTTCTTTTTTAAAAAAATTCTTATATTCTTTTATTCTGCGTTGCATCCAAACATTGTTTTACTACATTGTTTTACTTTGATCATTCATCTCCATAAAATTTGAATTGCTAAATAAGGCCTAGTCCCTAGATACTATTCCCTCCATACCTTACAAAATGGCAGCTTACAGAGCTTTTAGTTACTATATCCCAGGAAGTATATGCTCCATAGAGGTAGCCAATATTCAGAAGCTACATTTTCTTATACTGCCCAAGTGATCATGAATAACCAAAACATGTGAAATGTTAAAATTATTTATGGTCAGAAATACGAGGATAAATCCCAGGAATGCAAACACAGGAGAAAAAAATAAGTGTAGAATTCATTCTGTATCACCTGGTAATAGTTGCTATAGTCCATTTTCAAGGCAGATTCCTAGGTTTTTAATGCTTGTAATGAAAACCTTTATGAGAGGACTTTGATTTTGAGAAATGCCGTGTGGAACTCTGCTGGTTTGTAAAATGAGTGTAATCCAAATCTTCACCATCTGTCATGTTGGGTGGTGGTAGCCGTGCTGGCCTTTCATTCTTAGAACAGTGAGGTTCATCACTTTTTTTTGACTTTGAGTGTGCTGCTTTAGCTGTTTTCCCCATTCTTTAACTCTTTCTTTTTTTCCTATTACCCTTACATTTTATTTATTTATTTATTTATTTATTTATTATTTGTTTTTAAATTTTACTTTAAGTTCTGGGATACATGTGCTGAATGTGTGGGTTTGTTACATAGGTATACATGTGTCATGGTGGTTTGCTGCATCTATCAACCTGTCACCTAGGTTTTAAGCCCAACATGCATTAGATATTTGTCCTAATGCTCTCCCTCCCCTTCCCCTCACCCCCCGGCAGGCCCCAGTGTGTGATGTTCCCCTCCTTGTGTCCTTGTGTCCTTGTGTTCTCACTGTTCAGCTCCCACTTATGAGTGAGAACATGCAGTGTTTAAGTCTCTCTCTAAACAATCAGTTTGATCCTGGCTTTTCTGTAGCCTCCTTTGAATTATCTGAAAAGTTTTCTAAGTTGATAGGCTGTGCATTTTCCATAGATGCTGAGCATCCATGGTGGTGCTTATCTGTGACATGTCTGAACTCATGGCTTTCTAGGCTTTAGTTCTTGGGCAGAAATCCTGATGCAAAGACTATTCTTTAGGAAAGAGATGTTTCATGGAAAGGATTGGAGACACTTTCATTGTTGCTTGTTTTTTACCTAACACGTAGACTCTCTTTGAACTAGATTCATGCAATGACCAAAGTTCAAAGCTGGTTTGGTTTTGTTGATTTTGAAACAAATTGAGGAATGATTTCAGAATCCCTTAAAATTACTTATGTCAGGATGCAAATGTGTAGTTTCTTCTGCAGATGACCCTATGGTGAAAGTTATGCCCACTTAGATGTGCAGAGTACTTACAGCACAGAGGGGCTTAAGTGATGGTTCTCAGATGACAATGGATGAACTGGCTGCATCAGAATCTCCTGGGGGAGTGCCATGTAATGTGGAGGGCTAGGCTCTCCCAGGAGGTTTGGACCAAGTAGGGAAGGGATAGAATTGTGGCCAGTCTCTCTTTTTAGTTTGGATGATGTTAACATACATGCAGCTAGGTTTGGGCATTGCTTATCAAGATATATTTTAGGGCCGGGCGTGGTGGCTCACGCCTGTAATCCCAGCACTTTGGGAGGCCGAGGCGGGTGGATCACAAGGTCAAGAGATCGAGACCATCCTGGTCAACATGGTGAAACCCCGTCTCTACTAAAAATACAAAAAATCAGGTGGGCATGGTGGCACGTGCCTGTAATCCCAGGTACTCAGGAGGCTGAGGCAGGAGAATTGCCTGAACCCAGGAGGCGGAGGCTGCGGTGAGCCGAGATCACGCCATTGCACTCCAGCCTGGGTAATGAGAGCGAAACTCCGTCTCAAAAAAAAAAAAAAAGATATATTTTAAAGTTTGCAAGTCTCTTTTCTTACCCATCTTTGGCTCTTTATATAATTATCATCAGTGCTTACCTCTATAGCGGCCATGTAAGTCTTAAATTAATATTGGGTAAATATTAAACGTGCTTTATTTAAAGTCAGTAAATAACTTGTAGGCTTAAGGCTAATATATTTTTTGACCTAAGTTGTACCTTTGCTCACTCTTTTCTCCTCTTCTGTTGTCTCTGTAGCTTGCTCATCAATTTGGAAGGAATTTGGCTCCGTGGGACATTGCAATGCACACAGACATTTCCAAGGAAATTCTAAGCAGTCACCCTTCCCTCTTTCGTTCCCCCAAATCTTAAGTGTGTACGTAAAACACTGGGTACATGTTGTTATGGTACTAGAAGGGAATTGGTTAGACAGTACACTTGTTGTTGGAACTTTCTGTGGCCACGTACGAAAGACAAGTTAACGAACTGTCATGGAGGCTGTTGTTGCCCAGCCAGGGCTGCTGCATTTTGATAACATTTCCACCCTGGCCACTCAGCACAATTCATGGAGGTCATGGCTTTTCGCTGATACTTTTTTGATAGTTTTTATATAACAAAATCCTTATTCTATTTATAACAAGATGATAAGGCACTATAAATGAATGACCTAAAATAATATATTTGTCTGTTATCTTTCGCTATTTCTACTTCATGTTAATTTTTAGCTGTAAAATTGGTAAATGGATTCTTACAACTATCTCATTCAGTTTTTTACTATTTGGTTTTCAAATTTCATTTAAATGTCAGAAATTTCCTTTTTAGGAACAGTGTATTTCATTGCAATATTAAAAATAAACTCAAATTGGCATGCCATAGGCACATGCTGATTACATTTTTATTTTCTTTCGTGAAAGGCACATGCAACTACAAGTACTTCATAGCCACTGGGTTGCTCATTCTACATCACAGCATCTCATCATGTTAATTCTGTAACTGTTTTCAAGGACTTGGATTGTTAGTGGGCTACCTGGAAAGTTCTTAATTTGATAATGACTTGTGTATGTACTTAGTATTGCAATGTAAGTTACTCAATTTACCAATTTATTTCAACAATTAAAACATTTTTATCCCTCTTCACCTATATTTCTTAATTATTTTTCAAAAGAACACTAAAGAAGTCATACATGGTATTGTGATGTATAGATACATTATATACATATATATATATATATAAAGTCAATAATGTATAAGTACATTACTATGATAAAACAGTTTTTCATAAGAAGAAAGGCATTATCGTATATATTTGGTCCATATGACAACCACAGGGACATCAAATTTATTAAAAATGTCAAAGCTAAGAATTACTAAGAAATTATCCCAATACACTCATTCCTGTCTCATATCCACAAGTCCATAATGGTATTTATGTGGAATATCAGCAGTTTGTCCTATTAAGGATGACAGATAGATTGACTTTTTTTTTTTTTTTTTTTTTTTTTTTTTTTTTTTTTTTTTTTTTTTTTTTTTTTTTTTTTTTTTTTTTTTGAGATGGAGCCTTGCTCTCTTGCCCAGGCTGCAGTACAGTGGCATGATCTTGGCTTACTGTAACCTCTGCCTCCATGGTTCAAAGATTCTCCTGCCTTAGCCTCCCAAGTAGTGGGACTACAGGTATGCACCACCACCCCTGGCTAATTTTTTGTGTTTTTAGTAGCCATCTTGGCCAGACTTGTCTCGAACTCCTGACCTTAGGTGATCCACCTGCCTCCCAAACTGCTGGGATTATAGGTGTGAGGCACTGTGCCCAGCCAGATTGACTCTTTAAAACCTTTACATTTTGAAATAATTTTAGATTCATGGATGCATGTAAAGATCATATGAAGAGTTCCTTTATGTGCGTAACCCAACTATTTCTAATGTTAATCTTGCATGACTGCAGTACCTTTGTCAGAAGTAAGAAATTAAACATAAGTACAATGTGATAAACTGCAGCCTTTAATTGGTTTCCATTAGTTTTTCTACTCATGTCCTTTTTGTTTGTTTCAGGATCAAATCCAAGATTCCATTGCATTCTGCTGCACGTGATCATCCTGTCCTCTTCTTCTCCATTTGTCTCCTTTCTCTCCTCTTCCTTGTATTTTCTTCATCTTTCCTTGTTTTTCATGACCTTGACACTTTTGTAGCCTACTGATTAGATATTTTGTAGTGCGTCTCTCAATTTGAATTTGTCTGTTCTCTTATGATTGGACTGGGATTATAGATTTTTAGGAAGAGAAATTAGCTGGGTGTGGTGGCACACACCTATATTCCCAGCTACTCAGGAGGCTGAGGTAGGAGGATTCCTTGAGCCCAGGAGTTTGAGGCTGCAGTGAGCTATGATTGCACCACTGCACTCCAGCCTGGGCCACAGAACGAGACCCCGTCTCTGGAAAAAAGACTGTTGGAAAGAGGACGACAGAGGTAAAGTGGCCCCCTCATTAGATCATATCATTATATCTTATGATCTCAACATGACTTATTACTGCCGATATTAACCTTGATTACTTGATTAGATATCTGGAAGCTTTCTCTTCGATAAAGTTTCTAGTTTTTTCTTTTTGTTATTTTGGAGATGGACTCCCTCTGTTGCCCAGGCTGGAGTGCAGTGGCACGATCACAGCTCACTGCAGCCTCAAACTCCTTTACTCAGGCGATCCTCTCACTTTAGCCTTCTGAGTAGCTGAGACTAGAGGTATATGCCACCATGCCCAGCTAATTAATTTTTTTTTTTTTTTTNATTTTGTATTTTTGGTAGAGATGGGGTTTCTCCTTGTTGGTTAGGCTGGTCTTGAACTCCTGACCTCAGGCGATCCACCCGCCTTGGCCTCCCAAATATTGGGATTACAGGCATGATCCACCGCACCCGGCCTTCATGCTCCCTTAACGATGCTCAGACAGTGGCGGGTGGCTGGCACCACCCCTCAGGCTCCTGTGGCTTAAGCGGGGCCTCTGCCTTGTGAGGTCACGTAACACTAGTGATGGAGATCATGCAAGCAGCACAGAGCTGGAGTTCATGCTGTTCTGCCTCTGCGGCATGTTTTCGGAAACAGGAGTTATGTTCTAGTAGACCTATCAGCTTGAGACAAGTCAGAGACACTCCAAGGAAGCATAAATTCCCAAAGCTCCTTCCTAGCTCATCCCAGCAGACCTCCTATGCAGAACTAGAGGTGCCTCTTGTCATTCCGTGAGACAGGTTGTATTAGTCCATTCTCGCACTGGTGTAAAGAAGTACCTGGCACTGGGTAACTTATAAAGCAGAGAGATTTAATTGACTCCCAGTTCCTCAGGCTCTACGGGAAACATGGTTGGGGAGGCCTCAGGAAACTTAACAATCATGGCAGAAGGGCGAAGGGGAAGCAAGCATGTCTTCACGTGGCAGCAGGAGAGGGCAAGTGAAGGGGGAGGTACCGCACACTTGCAAACAACCAGACCTCATGAGGACTCCCTCGCTATTACGAGAAGAGCAAGGGGGAAATTCGCCCCCATGACCCAGTCTCCTCCCACCAGGCTGAGTCTTCAGTTTCACATGCAATTTGGATGGGGACACAGAGCCAAACCGTATCACAGGTGAAAAAGAAAGAACGAGACAAAGGCAGAAAAGCACATCTTGCTTTACATGCTCTCACCTCCCAGGAAGCGTCTGCATCCTGCTTCGCCCAGGGAGTATGTTACAGCAAGGTGGGGGCCTTGAGAAACGCTGACTGGTGCAGGTGTCGCGGAAGAGGGGACAGCCAGGCAGCCTTCTCAGCATTCACCACTCGCCCTCATGGCATCTTCTGGGCAAGCCATCCAGCATCGGTTAGATTACAATTTTTTTTTTTTTTTTTTTTTTTTTATTTTTTTTTTTTTTTTTTTGTAGAGGTGGAGGTCTTGCTCTGTTGCCCAGCCTGTTCTTGAACTCCTGGCCTCAAGCAGTCCTCCTGCCGTAGCCTCCCAAAGTGCTGGGATTACAGGGGTGAGCCACCACACATGGCCTCTAGTTTTCCATTTTCATCCCCTGTTCCTTGTAAGTGATAAGTGAACCACTAAGTTGAGACCACAATCAAGGACAGGGAATTAAGCTTCGCCTCTTGGAGAAAAGAGTACCAAGGAATTTTTGGACACTTGTTAAAGGCACCATGGTAATTAATAAGTATTTTGGAGAAGATAGTTTGAGACTGCAAATACCCTGTTTCTCCTTAGAGTTTTGCCCACAAATTTTAGGGTCATCCTTGGGTCTCATCTGCAGCATCTGTTATGTGGCATAAAAATGGTGACTTTTCATTTCCCTCGTTTCTATACCTGTATTATTTGGAATTCTTCTCTAAGGAACATTTGCCCGTTTTTCCCCATTTACTTATTTATTCAATCATTCATCTGCATCAATATAGGCTTTTGGAGATTTATTTTGTCCTTTAGGTTATAATCCAATACTCTTGCTATTTTGTTGCTCAAATTTTTCCAGCTTTGGCCTCTGGGAGCTTTTTTAGGTTGGCTCTGACATGCCCCAACCTCCCCACCACCCGCCGTCCCCACCTTTGGTTGATGTTTAGTAACAAGCAGCCCTCTAAAATAAAAATCCAATTCAAAATTTAGTTTAAAACACATTCCTAAAACTTGCTCACATTTCATCGTAACTGAATAGTGATTTCCATATTGTGACAAGTCTTGACATTTTCCTTCCACTAGACATTCTTTAAATTTAGAACCTTGTGATTCTCACTTGCCACCCACTTAAAGCTAATGACTGTAATTTTTATTAAGTACTGCAAGAAACTTGAGTGAAGAACTTAGAGAAGAATGAACAACATTAAACATTACAGAAGAAAAGTGAGAGACGGGTAAATACTTAAAAATGTCTGAAATTTAAGAATTAATTCCTTTTCAAACAACATGGTTTCTTCGCAAGATTATTATTTAAAAATACAATGAAGAGAGGAGTTTCTGAGATTTTCTGATTGATAAGATTGTCTGAATAAAACAGGTTTTCTTAAGAAACCTTCTAAGCTAGAAGGCAATCATTACTAGACTCAAAGAAGACAGCTATAATTTAGTTTTGGAGAAACTGCTTGGAACTCTGGAATGTAGAAAACTCTGGTTTTGACAGGTACAGCTGACTTCTGGTGTGCTATGAAGAATGCTGGTCTGTTGGAAAGTGATCTGGACGAGGCTTTGGGGAGAGAGACACAATGATTGAAGGCACCAAGTTAATACAATGGGGAGTTGCCTTTCCGGTTTTTTGAATTGTCAAGAGTTTGAAGAGGAAGAGAAAACAGGCTTAGTCTTGCAAATGGGAGCCAGTGTGTCTGTACTGTATCCATGCCCAGGGGTGTGAAGAATTTCTGGAGTGGAAAAGTTGTGTAAGGAACTCATTCCCAGGAAGATAGTTTGCATTTTATATACTTATTTACATTTACTGAATGCACCTGGTAAATTCAAGCGGTACAGAAGGATAAGGTGCTTTTCATAGATTTTGTCCCAGTACCCAATTCTGATTTTCAGTTGTTTGGCAGTCATCACCAGTTGACTTCTTGCTGTGCCCCAGATGGGCAGTGGTTACTGGGGTACAGCTGAAAGACCCAATCTGGGCATTCAAGCCTCTTCAGATGAGTGATGGATACCCTGGGTAGCTTGTAAGGAACATATGGAGCAGTGACTGGGGTGGCAAGGTTACTTTGGGACCACAGAGCAGGGACGCCTGAGTCAGAATGGTGGGTGAACAAAGACTTCCCAGAGGGCAGGCCCCAGTGCAGAGCCACAGGGAGGGTGTGAGTTTGCCAGCACACATCAAGGAAGAGAGTAGCTTCAGGCTGAGAACCACAGGTGCAAAGGCACCTAGAACACCCTTGGTGTAACCTGGGAACTGCTAGGAGTTGAGCCTTGCTGGGTGGGAGGTGATGGTAATGGGATGGGAGACGCAGGCAAGGTGAGCTTGCCTGGAACCTGGAAGGTCACCTTTGAACTTCTGAGGCCTGTGGGAAGCCACTGGGGAATGAAGCAGTCATGGAGCTCAGGTGCTTAGGGGCTGTCCTGACTGGTTTTAGTTTCCCCTCCAGTGCCTTGTTTGTGGATCTCTGTAGTAGGCATGATAAGTACTTGCAGTACTTACCATGTTTTAT